AGCACTAAAAAACACAGGAGAGGAGAGAAAGAAATCAGAAAATGAAGTGAGATATGAAACGCACGTTTCCGTAGCGTACATGGACAAATAACATGTATTAGTACGCATCTTTGTTTAGAGCATGCTTCTATTTAGAAAATATTTCAATGTAACCATTTTCAAATTTAAAAGCCTCTACTTCTATACAAAACGTTTTCCCACTTGCACTTGAACATCCCTCGATATACAACATTCTCCATTTAAAACATATTTCTATACAAAGCATATATACATATATATATATATATATTGTGAAGTACTTATATTATATGAGTATTTTTACATATATATGTATAGCGCATACAATACACGAACAGCTGAGATATGCACACCGAAGCACTGGAGAGCCAAACGGCGCTTCATGAACAAAACAGACATCGGCGAAAAGTAAAGGAAGCCTTCCCGCTATACAGACCAACTGACACTGCGAAGCAGTAAACATGGAAACCGACTTGAAAAAGCAAACACCGCCTCCCTCTTTCGATTCTGTGTGTAGCAAATACGGAGGATAATTAAGGGAAATTAGCAGCAACACGGCACTCCGAACACCGCTGCATGCAAACAGCCTGGCTCATATATATATATATATATATATATACAAACATAGATATAACCAAGGGAAAATGAAAAAATATACCTTTAAGATCGACTCCTCCACAGTGCCGCGGCAACAAAGCCGATAAACTGTCACGTCGTGCGTCTGCCCCAACCGATGTACGCGGTCTTCTGCTTGGCGGTCGTTCTGCGGGTTCCAGTCCTGATAGACGCAATAAAGTAGACAAAAAGCAAACAAAAAAAAATAACAACCCCACCAACCACTAACACCAAAAGCAAAGCCCAAGCATTTATTCATGCACCGAGACAGTAACAACTGTCCTCCCCAGAGATACAGCCATTCGTATCTGCTACTGCAGCAGATACGAGCGAAACGGCATCCGCTGCTGCCACCTAAGCAGTGCTGGCAGCGAAAGTGGTGATCTTATTGTTAGTGTGCTGCCCTTTTATCTCTGGGATGTTTTCTTTATTGAACTTGTTTGATCATTTTGTGGTAGTTGGTCGCCCTGCACTCCCACCTGGTCTAGAAGAATGACTGTGCGTGCAGCAGTGAGGTTGAGGCCTTGCCCTCCTGCCTTTGTGGAAAGGAGAAACGCAGTGCAGTCTCCCGTTTGATTGAAGCCATCTACCAAACGCTGGCGCTCCTCTACAACGGTCGAGCCGTCAAGGCGACAGAAACGCAGAGTAGGGAGATGCAGCTGCAACGCCTCCTCCACGACGTCCAAGAAGGTTGTGAATTGACTAAACACCAAGGCCTTCTCGCCGCGGCTCTGCACTTCCTTCAGTAACTCAAACGCCTTCCTAAACAGCAACAACAACGCAAACGCAATCGTGCAGCTGCATGCACGCCACACACTGCAACTCAGCTGTATATACACCGCAAAAAAGTCGCTCTCTCCAACAACAAGAAAAGCGAGCAACTATCACGACTCACCGCAGTTTGGTGCTCTCGAGGAACGACTCCGCTGGCAAAGCTAAATCTGCCAGTTTCATATCGCCCTGTTCAGCCAACATACGAATACCCTGCAGGCAAAGGCGCAACGAGACGAACAAATAAATTGAGCAAATAGATTGAACAAGCGAAATAGACGAACAATTTACAAGCCAACCGTGTCGGCAGCGTTCCCCCGTCCGTTTTCTGCAGCAAATCCGCCGTTGCTTAGCAAATATTTGATCATAAAAACGCTTTTGACTGACTCTGTATATAAACCATCATAACTTATTTTTCGCTGCGTTAGCGTTATCTATTTGCCGTGATAGTCATAACAAGCGCATATGTTGTTTGCCATGCCTGTGTTGTCTCTGTTACAACTCTGTTTGTCCTGCTAGCGTTATCTCTTTACTATAACAATAAATACTATTACACCCATTCTGTTTACCTGGTGTATTTCATAGTCGCTCCACTTATCGAACTCCGCGCGGATTTTCTCAATTGGGTTTCCTTTGAACCCGTCGACGTGATATGCATAATGCCGGGCCATGCGCTGTACGTACACCCCAACAAGCATACAAACGCACAATAGACGCACTAAAGCAGCAATCAGGCACACAAATACACACATCAAAGACACAATAAAGCGGCGAACACACGCATACACCACACAGGTATGCAGCGCGATAGAGAAAAATAGCCAAGCAGAAAGGAGAGGCACACAAAAAAGTGGCAAATGCTGACGGAAGAAAAAAGCAAAGGAACAAAACGAGGAGACAGGAGACAAATGGGAAACATTTGACACTGGGGAGGAGGAGCAGCACAACAAAAACACTCGGTTAAAATCCTACAACGCCCACCAACGATATATAGGGGAAGCACCCATTAAATACCATTAAAATATAGTATTTATACACGTAAGAACGAGATAATAATATTATCCAGAACGCGAGTGACAACATTAATAAATATTGCTTCTACACAGGGGAGTAGTACTAAGCAAAGAAGAACAAAACAAGTCCACACAGACGGCCTCTGTATATATATATATATATATAT